CGCTGTAGTGATGATGGCAAAGGACCCTGCACCTCTGCTGTGGTTTGCAGAGGGCTTGGGTATGCGTCCATAAATGATCACCTGTTGAGATTTGATCCCCGCTGTGAGGTGTTAGGAGTATGAAAATGTAATCCCACTATGTTTAGAGGCCACACCTCCGGGAGCTGACGGAGACACCATGAGGTCACAAAGATGGGACCCCACCACTGAGTACTGGCTCCATAGCGGCTCATAAGAGAGAGGACGGGCATATCCACCTGTTCCCCATCTCTCACAGGCTGACATTTGCAGCTGCCAGTAAGGTCTTCTCAATCTGGGACCAGAACCCTGAGCTAAATAAACCTTTTTTTAAGTAAACTTATCCAGCCTTAAGCACTTGGTTATAGTCATGAAAAGTAGACTAATACCAAAATCCAAACAAGAAAGGACGATAAAGTTCGAAAAGTTGCCGGGCTTTATCTATACAAATAAAATAAAAGCACGCCTTTAATCCCAGCACTAGGGAGGCAGAGGCAGGTGGATCTCTGTGAGTTCGAGGCCAGCCTGGTCTCCAGAGCGAGTGCCAGGATAGCCTCCAAAGCTACACAGAGAAACCCTGTCTCAAAAAACCAAAAAAAAAAAAAAAGTTTGAAAAGTCAGGGTCTCTCCTGACCTTTGCTTCCCTTTAGGTTAAACATCTTCCAAACACTTCACAAGTTAGCATATACTGACCCTTCTGAGAATACAGAAAGCCCACCGGCCTACTCCCCCCTCCCCCGTCTCTCTATCTCTGTCTGTCACCTCTCTTCCTCTCTTCTTTCCTCTTTCCTTCCTGCTTTCTCTGGACCGTGAATATATCTATGAAACAGAAAACAGGACACCTTGCCAGGCAGTGGTGGCCACGCCTTCAATCCCAGCACTGGAGAGACACAGACAGGTAGATCTCTTGTGAGTTCAAGGCCAGCCTGGTCTACAGAGGAGTTCCAGGGCAGCCAGAGCTACATGGCAAAACCCTGTCTTGAACTCCCTACCGAGAGAGAGAGACAGACAGAGACAGAGATAGAGACAGAGACAGAGAGGAGAAGAAAAAAGAGAATATGACAGGTCCTTGTGGAGATAAAATCAGTGCTCAGCCAACCACGTCTTGAGTGCAGAAGGCAGCTGTGGTCTGTTTTTGTGTATCTACTAGATAAAACAGATTCAATATTTTAGAGTCTTATGAAAACAACAATTAAATGGATATTTTTGTTTGTTAGTTTGTTGTTGTTGTTTAACAACCAAACCAAAATAAAGAAAAATAAGCCTGTAAACTGAAAATGTTGCCTGTGTGGTCCTTTGTAGAAAAAACTGGCTGATCTCTGCTTAAGGGAAAGGTTTTTCTGTTTTGTTTTGGGTTATTTTTTGTTTGTTTTACTTGTTTGTTTATTTTTTATTAGCTGAGCACACACGGGGGACACATTTATTTATTATTTATTCCCAAACCAGAGAACTTTCTGGAAGTCATTTCACATTAAGGGAAAGAATGAATGGGCACAGCAGATTGGACAAGATTTGTAGAATATTATCATTTGGCCCTCTCTCCCTGTTCATCTGAAGACACCCATTAAAAACAAAACAAACCAACAAACAAAAACCCACTCTGGACTTACAACAGCCATCTATTGTCTCACAGTTCTGGTCTGAGGTGGTTTAAGGCCAGCAGCCTCCTTGCTGTAGACAGCTGCTTTCTCTCCTGTCCTCACACGACCTTTCCTGTCGGCTGTCCCTCCTGGGAGGAGATCAGGTCTCACCCTAATGGCCTCATTTTAATTTGTTTCTAAAGGTGTCACATTCTGAGGTACTAAGGGCTTCAACATGCGGATTTTAAGAGGACACAATCACCCTAACGTGCTCTTCACAAATGAAATTAGAATTCACCAGTGTGGTCCCCTTTTAGCAAAAATAACTGTTGGGCTGGGCTGGCAGCTCCTTTGCTAGACTGCTCGCCTTGTGAGCGTGAGGACCTCGGTTCAATCCCCCAGAACCCATGTTGAAAACAGCAACAACAAACAAAACCTGGCTGTGATGGCTCCTGCTTGTAATTTCAGTGTTGGGAGCTCACAAGCAGGAGATCGTGGGGCCCTCAAGTCGGCCAGCCTAGCTACTAGGAAAGTGTCAGGCCAACGAGCAGTCCAGGCACAAAATACACGGAGGGTAACCCTGAAGAGTGACAGCCAAGGGTAGCCTCCGGCCTCCACTCACTTGCACACACGTGTGCTCCTGCTCATGTACACACATGTACACACGTGTGCTCCTGCACATGTACACACTTGTACACACGTGTGCTCCTGCACAGCACACACATGTAAGAGAAGACAAGTCCCTCTCTTACTAACAGCTACCATGTGGTACAACAGTGGAGTGAGGGTGTCTGATTTCAGTGACATTTATTTATTTATTGATAGAGCCTCCTCACTCTGCAGCCCCGGCTGCCCTTACTTTGCTACCCCCCTCCCCGCTTTAATCTCCCAGTGCTGGGCTTACAGGCACACATCACCAAGCTCAGCACTAGGGACTCTGAGACAGCTGTTTCTTCTAGGTTGGACATGACTCCTGCAGATCAGCTGTGATGATCTGCCCTGGAGCCTCATGAGATCAATCCTGTCAACACTGAGAGACTCAGGACCCTCCCCAAGGTCCCGATCGCTGCACTATGACAGGTAAATGGCTGGGGTAGGAATTCCTGATGAGACAGCCGCACAAAGTCACTTGGGGGACTTTGGTATGCACCACCCACACTCCTGTTTACAACCTCAGTAAGTGGTCCAGCCATGCTGAGAAGATGCTGGTTAGTACCGTCCCCCCAGCCGCTAGCTCTTAAAACAATTCACTCATCCTCTGTGGTGGTCTTTGAATTTCACTAAAATCTGTGTAGGAAACAAATCTTCACTGCAGAGACCTTAGGACTTGGGGTGTGCTGTGTTATGCAAGCAAAGCCCAAAGGATCCCACACACGGCTGCTAGAGGGGAGGACCCTGGGGAACCTCTGCCCAACTCTGGGTGAAAACTTTGTCATGTGCCCCTGTCAGCTGTCCGCAGTGTGACGTCTACAAAAGTTGAGTTTTGCTGTTGTATGGAGCTTAAATATAAGCTACAGACTTTAATAGAAGTTAAGGCCTTTGCTTTCAACACAGGCCACCTTCTAAGCGGGGAATGCGTGTAGCGCTGGCCTTGAAGCCAGCACCGTTCATGTCCTCACCAGTAAATCTGTTTCCTGGTGTTCTCTCTGTCATGTGCCACCTTTCATCACAAGCTGATTAACTCCAGTTGGTCCCAGTTTGCTCCGCATCTAGCTAGCCGGTTCTCACTCGCAGATGGGATTCCCCTACATTTTACTGCAGACGGAGGTGTCTACAGGTGAGCGGCTGATCCAAGCCTCCTTCCTGCCCCCCCTCCCCCGCTATTCCTGCGTGGCTACAGATATCAAATCCTAGAACAGGGTGCAGTGAAAACATCTGTAGCAAAGAAGTACAAATACGTACCCCTCACCCCCCTGTTTGTCTTTGGAACCAGATGTCTGAGAAGTTCCCTTGAGCAAAGGGCTGCCACAGATAATACACTCATTTACCACTCAGGAAACACACTCCTGGCATTGAACAGTGATGACATTAAATTGAACCAGCTCCCAGCGCTGCTCTGAATTAATCTCAGTGTGTCTGTGGCACACAGAGGACCATACACAGACAACAAACACAGTAACCAAGAGGCTTTCCAGACCCTGCTAGAACAAAGAGTCAGTCTTGCATTCTTTCCGAATGGGTCTTACTTTGTGATAAGTCTCTGTGTAAATGTTCTAGGAGGTTAGTCTCGCAAACCCCAGTAGATAATAAGAGGTCTCTATTTACATCAGATTTAGAAGAAAACAAGAGAGTCCAAAAAGGAAGTGGTCTGTTGAGCTCCAATAGTAGGTGGAGGGCAGCAGAAGGGGTCCAATGTTTAACCACCTGCGGGTTCTCGAGACGATACACCGTTTGAGAGTGGCTTAAGAAAGCAGACAGCTCTTCCCAGGAATCCTGGAAGTGCCTGCTGCAAGCACTTGACTTGTCCTCAATTCCCCTCTAAGAACACGGCAGTCAGTTCACCTGGGCACTCTGGGCTACTGTTTTTAAAAAGACAGGGGTAACTTGCAAATAGTGGTGCCCGTCTGTAATCTTAGCACGCAGAAGGCAGGGGGACTGTGACTTCACAGTCAGCTTGATCTAAAAAACAAAACAGAACACAGGCTGGGTATGGTGGCTGTACACGTGTGTTCTCAGAAGCTGAGGCAGGAGGATTATGACTTCCTGGCAAGCCTGGACTACTTTAAAGAAGAAGAAAAGAAAAAGAAGCAGTAGAAGGAGGAGGAGGAGGGAGAGGGGGAGGAGGAGGAGGAGGAGGAGGAGGAGGAGGGAGAACCTTAGTTCCCTTCCTTTCCTGAACTGCTGCGACTCTTACAATAAAACATCAAAACCACACACACCTGCTCCTTCATCTCTAACTCCCGTGAACCTGTGTAGCAGGAGCAGGAGCCCTGCCTGCTTTGTAGCCACGTAACCCGCTGAGCCCATAGCCCCTTTGGGAAAGGGGACACAAGGATTTAAGGATGGTGGCACCTATAGAAAAACACTCTGCAAACAGTTATGAATGGTGTCGTAACCGGGGCAACCCATACAGTCAAGGTACACCAACCCCATCACATATCCACCTCTTGCCCTGACCCAGGACCTAAACCAAGGACAGAGAGCAGAAGCAAGATCCGTGGCCGCCCTTCCATGGTGCTCCCTGGGAAATCCTGACCCATCAATGTGAACGATACGCTGAGTCAGGCCACCAGCCACATAAACCTTTGAAAACACCCACTGCAGGTGAAGTTAACCAGGGCTACTGGGAAAGGAAATGCTCCCCAAGCCCCCCAGTGTGCCAAGAGTTTTACGTAAACAATGGTTTACTCTGCGCCACACACCCAATGTGTTAACATTTATCAATGAACAAAGAAGCAGCCATAGTGAGGAAAAAGTGTGTATTTCACAGCCATTATAAAAGTACATATATTCAATAATGGTGACATAAATAGAGTCAGTCCTTTCTCATGACCAAACCTTACAACTAAGACGGACTCTTCTCCCTGGACTTCACACAGCGACAGCTGAGTTGCTCCCACCAGTAGCCGCAGGCTGACCGAAATCCCAGGCAGGAGCCCATGAAGGACAGTCATGGGTCAACAGCAACACACTGCACTTAACAAGAGGATGTCAGGTTTTCCATATAAATATAATAAAACAGTAAAGAAACTGACATTTCTTCTTTCACTCAGTTTCATAGACTTGTCTGGCAGGTGTATACACACCCCAAAACACAGCTAGTTTCCCCGCCTTGCCCCCTTTGCCTTTCACTGGGTTCATTAGACACCTGAGTTCCTAGTCTGTTACCAGTGGCCACAAGGGCAGCTAGTGGTGCATCTGACACCGTTCTTGAAGCGTTTGAAGAATGGGAAACACTTTCTCCATGAATTAACACCACACACACACACACACACACACACACACACACACACGTGAGGAAAGCAAACAGCCAGAAAAAGACGTAAGAGGTTACAAAAAAGGGGGACATGGCACACAGGTATACATCCTACCAACTTGTAGAGTGAGATGGTTGCAGTTGGTAGTTATCTTTAAAAGAGGACTCTGCCCATCAAAATGCAAACACAAAACGCGCCAATACGGCATTTGTAGATGATTCCTCTCTTCTCTCTGCTTAGAGTTCTGTTTTCAATGTTAAGTCCTGGAAGCCGAGCTGGAGCCCTACTGAGGAACAATGCCGGCTGCTGGGAGGAGACTTAGGGAGGGGGTGAGTCCCTCCCTAGGATGAAGCAGTCCAGGTCTTACCAAGTTCAGCCAAGACTAGAGCATTTTGCTTCTAGGGTCAGCCAAATGTGTGTTCTCTTCTTGCCCAGTCAGAGCTGTGAGAGTCTAAGGGAAGCCACCCACTGGTAAATGAGAGACAGCGATGCTGCGTCTCATCCCTCACTGGCAAAGGCTGGCTTTGGGATTTTAAAGAAATTAGCCCACTTTAGCATCAATGGTTCACTAAGATGATGAACCCGGCTTTATGACTACAGTTGTGGTCTCTGATCACACCTGAAAGTCAAAGATGGAAGATCTGGGCTATTTCACAACTCATCTCCTAAACAACTGTGACCCAAATTGTGCTGATTCTTCTCTTCCTTACACTGCTGTTCATGACTGAGAAGTCCTCTGCTAAGGGTCCAGGATCCCCAGAGAGACAATCCCCCATCAAGTACCAGCTGGACATGATCTGACAATACCAGATTCCACAAAAGACACAAGGGGCGTCACAGCCACAAAACCAGAAACGCATCTTTGGTTCAACCCTGGAAGGGGGAGGTGTAGAACAAACACAACACGGACAGAAAGCCCATTTGGGGGACACTGCTTTCCTTGGGGACGAAACTGTTCGTGAACTGCTCCCAGGGGACAAGCCTGTTCCTTCCCATCCCCCAGCACAGCTAGGCTCCAACCGCAGCAGAAGAACATCAGTGCACAGCAAATGCCTTCTCCTCGCCTTGAGAATCATGCTCTCTCCAGAGCTCTGGAGCCATGTTCCAAGCCCTCTGCTGCTGTCACAATATAAGGCCAGGATGGCTAGGCTGCTGTCCCTCAGCAGGCCACTGTGGTCCAATGCTACTTACCATCACCACCCAGGCCAGCTTTTTGGCCACCTCAGCTGCAACCTCTCAGAAAAACATGAATTTGGTAGAAATGCTTCCCATCTGACCATCTAGGTTTTAAAAAATTGTTATTTTGAGCCAGACACAGGAGTATACACTTGTAATCCCAACACTTTGGAAGCCGAGGATGGTGACTTTGAAGCCAGCCTGGGTGACTTAATGAGACCATTTCCCAAAAAAAAAAAAAGTTACTTCAATTTAATAGCATCATTTAAAGCAAGTTTTCTTTGGACAAGTTCATTCAATCCTTAGCAAGTTTCAATCAAAAAAAAAAAAGAAAGAAAGAAAGAAAGAAAGAAAGAAAGAAAGAAAGAAAAGAAACATAAAAGACAAATTTGTTAGAACATTGCATGGGAATGAGCGTTTTCTCTAGTCTTCACTGTTGGGTTCCATCTTTGTCTGAGGCTCTATCTAGTCTTCCTCCAGAGTTCCTGGGGTCTGACACTGTGACTCACCACTCCTGCTCTCCCGCAGGGACTCACTGTTAGGCTAAGGAGGGTCGATTCCCTCTGTGTCTGTGGAGGAATTCCTAGGCTGGGTGAACATCCTTGCAGTGGTATGGTCCCTGTGAGACTGTGACTGGCCACTGCACACAGCGGTCTGTGAGAGGCTCGCATGTAACAGAGGGAGGAGGGCCTGGTACCCATCTGGAAATCTGAGTGGTCCAGCAGATGGAGGTGTGGTTTTCAGCTCTGAGCCCAGCAGGGGGTATACTGGAGAGGGCTGGATGAGGGGTTGTAGGAAAGAGGGTCTCAGCCTGGAATGGATGGTCCCTACAGCCAGCCCTCCTGCTTCTCAGCATCTCAGAGGATCCGAAGTGAGGCTGGGTGTGCAGGCTTTAAGTCTGTGGCTTCCAGCTGATCCGAGTTGGGGCGCTGTGAGGCGGGAGTAAAGGATTCTCTTGTGAGGCTGGCTGCTCATGCCCTGGTGTGTGTGTGGAGCTCTGTCCATTCTGTCCTTACAGAGACCCAGAATCTTCCCACCCCAGGTTAACACTGGCTCTTGACACCGTCAGCCATGTCAAAGGAGAGGCTGGAGGGGGCTGTGGGTTGCAGTGGTGACATGCTGGCCTCCAGGGACCTCTCCAAGGAAGGCTGCAGGCTCTGGTGCCGCTTCCTCAGCATCTGTCCAATACCCATCATGGGGAACCTTCCTCTGCTTTTCACACAGTTGGGGCTCCCCAGGGGCTGCGTGAGGCCATTGCTGGGAGCCGGAGGAGGGGAACACACACCCTCCTCTTTTGGAGAGCTGTTCTTATCTTCGTGCCCAAAAGAGACGAGCGTGGAATGCAGTGGAGTTTGCAGAGGCGATGTACTTCCAGAGAGCAACCCCGGAGAGAGCGTCCTCTCACTAGAGTTCCTGCGAGCCAAGCTCACAGGTGAGCTCAGGATCCTATAGTGATGGGAGGGGGACAGCAGTTCTATGTGGTCCTCGCGATCCACTGACTCGAAGGAGCGGACCATATCCAGCAGCAGGGGCTCTTCCTTGGGGAGGATGCTGGCACTTCCCGGCCCTGACTGGTGTGGCTCTGGTTTCTTTACAATCCTGGGTGTCCTGGGAGGTGGGACAGGGATGAATTCCATGGAAGAAGAAGCCACACAATTGGAATCGGAAGTTTTGCGAAAAAGATTGCGGCAGCCGAAGGAATCTACACACCAAGAAAACAAGACCGTGAGCATAGGTTTGGAAAGAGCCGAACACAGCCTGAGCTGTCCCTCTGACTTAACTGAGATAGAAACCCGGTGCAAGACAGGAGGAAGCAAGAAACCAATGACCTGGGATGGTTAGAGGAAGCGTCAACCGAAGCTCCTGAGGTCACAGCAGGAGCCCCAGAAGTCCTAGGGTATAGGGGGCAAAAGGCTAGACTAACACTACTCCCCTTTGATAACTGAAAATTCCTGACTCTATCAAGAGGCCTTTGAACAAAGAGGTTTACCCGCTCAACGGGACATCCATTAAAGCTTGGAGGGACACAGACTCTGACTTACCGAACACCAACACATCTGGTCTCTTGACTCCTGGCCCTGGAAGGACTTGTGCCCCAACTCTCTTGTTAAGTTTATCATGGTTTAAAAAAGAAATATGTAACAGAAGGTTTATCAACGTAGGTTCTTTCTGTCTACAGCTCAGCAATGCATACACATGGATTTCACCCTACGGAAATAGTGCCGCCATTACCCGGTCGGCCACTCTCCTTGTCTCCCTACACTCTGGCAAGCCCCACTCTACTTGCCAATCTGTGAACTTGGCCGCTCTAGGAATGCAAATAGCCTCCCCATACAGCATCCGGACTTTGAAGACTGGCTCATCCCCTTAGTGCCAAGACTTCTAGGTTCATCCAGGCTGTGGGTATCTCTCCTTTCTCAAGCCTCCCTTGTGGCTTTGAACTCAGTGAGGCCTCACCAACTGCAAACAGAAATATGTAGCAAAGGCAACCAGCCAATGCCCAGACTTTCCATCTTGAGTTGGTACAGACCAGAATCCAGGTTTGTGAACTGTACTAGGAGAGAGAGGGGAAAGCCCCAGAGGCTTGGCACGTGGCAGGAATAAAGCAGAATAAGCTGTGTCTTGGGCTCTTTGCACTGCCTTAATATTTATTTCACGGGCTGCATCATGGCCCAGCCAAAGAGCAAGCTGCTGCCTAGTGTGGGTGATTTCAGGAACAGCCTCGGGCACTGAGAATCTCTCTTGCCCACATAAATAAATACTCAGACGCAGAAATAAATCTCCATGGGCAGCAGATGCCTGAGATTCGACAGCAGAAAGAAGTAAGGCTTCATTAATGGCTATTACTGTCGGTGCTCCTGTTGGCTGGGGAGCATTGCTTCTTCTCCTGGGCCTGCTGTGTTTGTGCACCAGGACAGGTTGCTTTGGGCATTGATGGGATAGCAGCTGCCACCCTGGGGTCACACTAAGCAATGCAACAAACTTGAGTTAACCTCAGATGGCCACACCCCTCTCTGAGCCTCAGATGCTGCAACCTGTATAAATAAACAATAAAACCTCTGCACTCCTGCCTCAAGATTCCATGTTAGGATACCCCCAGCTTCCGTGTCTCCCTCCCCGCGGGTGTTTCTCCCGAGCGTCTCAAACCATCCTGGAAGGAGGCTCATATGTACCAGCAATGGACTGAATTCTGAATCACGACACATTGGATCTACTTAGTAGGTCTAGCAGCCAGTGGATATTACAACTAAGGGACGCAATGAAGACCTTCAGCCCACAATGAACAATAAAGCTGGAACTTGAACTTGGGTCTGAGAATCCCCCCACCACTCTAGAACCCAGACACAGCAGCCATGCGTGAATGTCCCATGGGGCCATGTTAATAAGAAGAGCTCCAGTAGGACCCCCACCCCCGCAACTGCTTTTGCCCTCCACCTCCTGCTCCTGCTGCTATCTCCCTATCCCACTGACCCGCTATCTCACGTACTCGTTCTGGCCCCAGAATGTCATGTGTGCAGGTCTCTCATCCTGCACCCCTGTCTCTAGTCCATGCCCTGATCTCCTCTTGTGATACCTTCCACACTTGCCTCTCCCACAATACCATGCAGCCGAATTTCTGCTCCTACATCCCATGAACCCCCAAACTCTTATACCACAATTACTCCTACAGTGCCACACACCCCAGCCTCGGCTCCCCCACACACGCCAGCCTCGGCTCCCCCACACACGCCACCCCCGCACCCCGCCCACCCGCCCACCCCGGGCCCCCCCCCCCCGCAC